CCAAAACTGAGTGCCATCAGGAGATCCACCAGTGGGGCCACAACTTCAGAAGACCTCCCACTGTGGCCCCCCAAGCACCAAGAATACAGAGCATCACTTGCCCCAGTCATAAGAACAGAAGAGAAGCCATGTTGGATCAGGCCAGTGGCCCATCCAGTCCAACACTTTGTGTCACACAGTGGCCAAAACCCAGGTGCCATCAGGAGGGCCACCAGCAGGGCCAGAACCCCAGAAGCCCTCCTGTTCTTGCCCTCCAAGCACCAAGTATACAGAGCATCCCTTCCCCAGACAGAGTGTCCCATGTATGCCTTGCGGCTAATAGCCACTCATGGACCTCTGCTCCAGATGTTTCTCCAGTCCCCTCTTGAAGCTGTCTATGCTGTAGCCACCACCACTTCCTGTAGCAAGTAATTCCACATGTGAATGACTCCACTTACTCTTTTTCCAGTGTGATATGCAGGCCACCACTTGGCAAAGCCCCCCCCCCAAGACAAAAGAAAACATGAACACCCCAGAATGACATCAGAAGTGATAACCACAATGTCCTCCAAGACCTCTACCTTTCCAGCCAGCATTGCTTCTGTACAGTATCCACAAAAGCTGTGAAGATCTTTACATTTGTTTCTAATCTGTGGTTTTGAACAATTGTGTCTTTAACATTCATGAGCTTGGGCAGAGTAAACAGCCGGATGACAGACAATTTACATCCGCCCTGCATTATGCGCTTGTTCTGCCTGTCTGACGGAGACGTCCTCTCGTTCCACCACACCTCCTCCCCCTAGTTAAATGGCACTTCAAAAGACAAGGCGCACTCGACTAGGAATTAATTTTGCATTCAGAGGCAGTCTTGGGATCAGCAAAGAGGGCCTCCTTGAGACACTGCAAACACACCCAGGAGAGTCCGCCTTTGATCTGCCCTCCGTGTTTTGCATAAGGTCTCCCGGACTGTCAAGAGAGTTCTCGGACAGACGCTTGGTAGGAAACAGGCAAGTTAATGTGAATGCAGAGACAATCCAAGCACTGTAAGTGCACTTCATTTTTTAAAAGAAATACCAGCACTGAGTAATTCTCAGGTTATATACAAAACATGGACAGCTGAACGCATGATACTAATCCCACATTCATCCAAGTACTAGTCCCTGATTTCATTTCTAAAGTGAATATGCATTGGCTCATTGCTACACACAGATGTACGTACAGGACCAGGAAAATAGAGCATCACTGCCCCAGACATAAGAACATAAAAGAAGCCATGTTGGATCAGGCCAGTGGCCCATCCAGTCTAATACTCTGTGTCACACAGTGGCCAAAAATACCAGGTGCCATCAGGAGGTCCACCAGCAGGGCCAGGAGGACTCCAGAAGTGCTCCCACTGTTGCCCCCCAAGGACCAGTAAAATACAGGGAGGCAGTGGGGCCCTTGGATGACCAAGGGGTAAAAGGAGTACTGAAGGATGATAGGGAAATGGCTGAGAAGCTAAATGCATTTTTTGCCTCCGTCTTCACTGTGGAAGATGAGAAGTGCTTGCCCACTCCAGAACC